GACCAAAAAAACTCCTATCATTGTCTTTCAGTACTGGATTACAATCACTTGTTAATGTCTTCTTAAATAATATTACAATAAACTAAAACGTTAAAAAAATATATATATATACACTGAGTGGGCAGATTATTATGACCACCTGACGTTTGTAGGCAAATTAGCTATAATTTCGCGCTGAAGTTGGGCCAGACCATTATAAATAGGGAAGCAGGTTGTTTACCACGACAGTAGAAGTGATTTTTTTTCTGAAGATATGGGTAAACAACGCGATATAACAGCCTTTGAACGTGGGATGATTGTTGGCGCTCTGAGCCATGGAGCGAGTATCAGCAAAACAGCAGAATTCGTTAAATGTTCAAGGGGGGGCTGTTGTTAAAGCGTTTAAAGACTGGACTGTCAGCCGAAAATCTGGGTCTGAACGTGCCGTCAGCGACTAGTCAATGTTAGGGCAGAACGGAGAGTGGCAAGACTGGTACAAGACAACAGAAGGGCAACAGTGCAGTGTCAGATTCCTCGCATCACCTTTCAACATCTCGTGGAGTCACAAGGCGGCCCAACGAAGTACTGATGGGGTGGTCATAATAATCTGGCCAGTCAGGGTATATATTGAACCAGAAAAGGTTAACAGAAGATCTAACCTTTCCCCACTTTATGTAAAACCTCAGTCATGTTTTTATTGTTGTCGTCCCCTCTCTTTGTCCTGAAGATCAATGTCAATGACAAAGAAAATAATTTTTTTTTTTACTTTTCACCAGGACAATAGCTGAGAGAAAACCCTCCAATGAGTACACCTGTTCCTATGACAACTCTCTAGGAAGGTAATGCCATTCATTTTGGAGAGAGTTCCTCTCATTTCCTTTTGAGTGTCCAGGAAAAGGAAGTAATGGGAAATCACCCCATACAGGAAAAAAACACAGGAAAATCACCTGACAGTTGTCTAATCCCTCCCCTGCTGCACGTAAAACTTGTCCAGTTACTTTCCTTGTTCTGAAAGTAACAGCACCTTAAGCTGACACTTAACTCAAGATAAATACCTGAACCCAAATAGGGCTAAAACTAAAGGGTGGACATCTACAGATATATCAAGTTTTACTGGATATTGAATTTAAGCTAACCAAGTAGACTGGAAAAAAACTAAGGCTGATCACAAATTCAAGCAAATTAAAAATATTATTCATCCTTCTAAATAAAACACTTAATGAAGAACTTCGGGGAGACATTTTTATTGAACCTTGGAGTGGGACTACCCCAACACCACCAGGGTAAACTGCTTGTTTTTGTCTAGGAAAATATTATACATATATATCATTTTTTTTTAATTTTTTATATTATATAAAATATAATAAAAAATATTAAAATGTTTTACCTGAGTTTTTCAAGCCGGCCGGCTCTTGAGCATCTCTCCCTCTCCGCTGCAGGTCTAAAGGTGGCCGTACACTTTACAACCCTCGCAATACTTTTGTCTTGCGAGGGTTGAAAAGTAACTAAAAAAGCGTACGATCTGCCCATCTTGGACAGGCAGATCGTACTTGTGATCATCACAGGCTTCTGATGACTGCAATGAGGGGCGGGCTTCCAATGACTGCAAACAGGCAGTGTGCGCGTGCGCACACTGGCCCGTTCGGCAAGTGTCTAACAAGCAGGCCACTAACCGGCCGAGAATCATACGATTCTCGATGGGTTTTCCAACCTGCTTGTTCCATGGAAGATGTGCGACCCTACAGTAGAAACGGTCGCACACCTTCCATACACTTTGCGATTATCGTACGATCGCGGGATTTCCTGCGATTCTCGTACGATCGTACAGTGTATGGGCACCTTTAGATTCCTCATGTCTTGCTTCCAATACGGTGTATTGGTCATGAGGATGCACAGGGTCATACCATCCTAGCAGCGGAGGAGAAGACAGGCTGGAGGGAGGGCTGCCGGCTCCAAGGCTCAGGTGAGTATAAGTTTTTGTTTTGTCTTTGTTTACCCTAGGCAAAAAACAAGCAGTTAACCCTTGCAGTGCTGGGGGTAGCCCCTTTTCAAGGGTTAATAAAATCTCTGCCCAGACTTCTTCTTTAATGGGCTGATGTATATAAAACATACTATTAGTGGCGGTTAAGGGAACAAAATCCAACATTAGGCCCAGATTTTAGATTTGAATCCTTACAGTACACAAAAAAATGAAACTTGAAATGTGAGTAGTTACTAGGGATGTCCAGATACCAGTTCAGATACCAGTGCCGATACTTGGCATTTTCATGAGAACTCCCAGGGTTGCAGCTGGGACCTGGCTCTGGCGCTCCACCACTGTCCTGAAATCATTAGTCTGTATTGTTTTAGAAAAACTGTCACATGACACTAAACTAAAATGCATCAGTACTTGTATCTGCTAGTACTTGGACAAGTATCAGTACTTGTGCTTGCATACATGGTATCGGTGCATCCCTTTATTTATATTTATTTTAAAAAATAATGCATTAAAACAGAAATGTACAAATCCCAGGAGCTCTGTGTGCTCCTTACAAATGACAGCTGCCTCCTAACGTTTTTCTCTAGTCTAGTCTTGGAGCTGGAAAAGTATCTGTACATGTACTTGTAGTTACCATTGACTAAAACAACCCACTTTTCTTGTGCCAGTCCTCTTCAGCCAGCCTTGATAATTCTTAAGAAAAAACACCAAATGCAACAAGCACACCATTCTTATTTATAGGCTTTTCCTTTTAAGCAAGACAGAGAGATACAAGTTTTGTAAATGAAACCCCAGTGTTTCCATTTGTTTTCTGTGTTTTGCAAGATTTGTTTTAATAATCAAACTTCAGATAAAATTACTAAAAAGTGAAATTCACAGACAAGAAATACTTTAATTAAATATTGTGTAAAATGAACATTTTATACAGTTAAATATCTGAAAAAATGTACAGATAAAACAATCTTATTGTAGGGTTTTTAACAGTAAAATCTACCATTTAGTGAAGCGTTCAGTCGGGAGACAATGTAGCAATGTGAGCAATAACTAACTAATCTAGAACACAAACAGATTCCATTGATGAAATAACTTGCAAATGGTTTTTAACATGTACACATGACCTCTTTTTTTGTTATTTTTTGTTCTTTATATGAACCTTTCCTATACAAAATAAAAATGAGGCTTTCATGTTTTAAAAGTGTCTAGGTGTTCCCACGTGGAGAAGCCTTTTGGCTTTCACAACATAAAATGTGCAAAGCATGTAAAATGTTATCACATAGCTTTCGCTATTTTAAACCACATTTAATATGCATTTTGCCTAAAAGGAACAGAAATGTCTCTCCTTTTTGTTTATAAATGTAATTCTGCTGCAGTTTGCAAAAGTCTACTGCAAAGCTGTTCAGCAATGCATTTAGTGCAAAGAAAAAAAAAATCAACCAGTCCATCACCTCTAGAAACTATGATTTTGGCACTAATATGTAACATTTACCAAGGAGGTCATCCCAATTTAAAAAGACTTTGCTACTGGGTCTCGCTACAAAATATTTCTCTTTAAAATATATACAAAATTGTGTATTATTATGAATTTGTATGAAACCTATTAAAACAGTGCATGGTTTAGGAAACTGCAGAGTGCAGCAGAAGAAAGATGCAAAAAAAAGGAGCGACATAGTTGTATACCAGGATTGTGCTTTCTTTAAATTTATTTATAGTTTTTACACCACAAATCATCTTAATGTCATTAACGATTAGGAACTGTGATGTAATCCTGTGATACAATAGCACGCAATATTTGTTTTTAAATAAAATAATTTTAAGGCATCAGAGAAATTAATGTGGCAATTTTTTAATCAAAATATCAGATGAGAAATTAAATTCAAAATTTTAGGCCTCTGTAAATTTGTCCAGTAAGCACAGTTTATCTATGTGGCAAGTCATATGAGTGGCAGCGAAAATGACTTTTACATTCTATAAAAAAAAAAAAGGAAAAAAAAACAAACAAATAAAATAAACATACAGCCACAAACTCAGTTGCATTTGTGGCTGGATATCATGCACATTTTTCTACTAATATTAATTACAGCCATGTGGCACAATTTTGTTTTTGACTATACAACAAACAACTTTTATTCAAAAATCATTTGTTCAGATAACTTAAAAATAATATAAAAATAAAGAATGAATTTGACTTTTCCCTCAAAATAAAAAAAGACGGAAAGTCTAAACAATAGCACATTTTTGAAGTACAAATGAAATGTATAGACACCATAATTCATTAAAAAAAACACATACAGTATGAAGGCAACCTTTCTTGGCGTAATGCTGATTTTTCAGCATGTCAACACCAGCCCAAAACAAAAATGATACATACATACAAAAAAAGAAACAATGGAAAGCAATATACAAAATTTCAAAGATAAATACAATATTTATAATTGATATGTTACAAAATAAATTCCCTTAGTGACTGCAAGTGTTCATGTGAAAGAAAGTGTCTCAGATATAAGTAGACCATTTTATTCCTTATCAAACTAAATAAGGAATAAAATATGCTTTCTAATATTTTAAGTGGATCGGAAAAAAAAAAGAAAAATTCAAGACAAGTGTATAAATATTTAGCTACAACTTTGGCAAAATCACAAAAGTCTACAATTTTATAACCACATACAAAACACATTAGGGAATAAGGATCTAGAAGTCAAAAGGACAATTTTTCTGGTACAAGAAACATAGACTTCACAGTAGCCTAAGAATGCAATAGTATACAGTGCGAGCAAGAAGTTGAAAAAAAAATGTTGCAGGTCACACTTGCTTTACAGGAAGCTCTAGCAGTGGAAGTATATTTGAACTAACAGACAGTAGCATTTTCCTCTGTCAGTGTGCTTGTTGAAGGCAAAGAGATTTCAATATCAAAGTTACAGTTCCTAACTACAATAAGTTACAAAGTTCCATTTCATTAAGATGAAGTTAAGCAATGATAAACCCTCTTCCCACCCCAGTTTCCCTCCCCCCATCTCCCCAATTTAAATGATTCATATATTTATGTTTTCCAGTTTGATGGCTCAAACCTCCTTGGCCCCCTTTTTCACCACAAAAAAATATTTCACATTATAGAGATACACAACCATTGTGAGTCTAGTAATGAGTAAGGAAAAATGTTCTGAGGCATTTTTCATCAGTGTTTCATGATAAATCAGAACGGTGCATCCACAACGCTTTGTCCCAACACATAGCAAGTACTAGACATAGCCAAGACGTAATCAGAAACTTTGTACAAAATAGGCGTCGATTTTCCCCATCTTCTTCAGGAGTGAGAAACGTGAAAAATATGAGAAAAAGTTCAGGTCGACAAAATGGAATCGTTCATGGAGAAGTCGCTCATTTGCATGTCGAATTCTACTAGTCCAAATAAAATCTTTGAAAAGAAAGAGTTTGTAGCATTTTGCTTCTTGGTGGTTTTGTTCTGAAGAGACTGGTTTTCCGTCAGTACTCCTTAATACACTAAATGTGTCCCCTGAAGCTTTCTTCTGAAGCTTGATGCTACAAGCAAGTAGACAAAAGTGACTTTTTACATTGGTGGAACTACAAGACCGGACATAACTAGAAAAAAAGAAATAAGATTATATTAGCTTTAAAACCTACATGTTCTCCTTTTTTTAACTGACTGACCTAAAGACTTTTTGTTTTGATTTTTTTTATTAAAATGAAAATTCTATATAGTTTTAATTGATGGGCCCTTTTTGTACTAAACCCAACTTGATGAATTAATATTATGATATAGTTTTAAGTTTTGTTTTTTTAACATATTTGTGGGATTTTAAAGAAATTAAAGTATTAATGTTTTAATCCCTCTGTTCTCCCCGTTTACAGAAAACAAATTCTGCCAGTAATTTTTTCATTTTTTTACGTGCAATTGCTATTTTGGTCTTTTTATTTATTGTTTGAATACTGCATCTGCTACCCCCCACCTCAGTTCCTAGTTTTCAGGTTTAACATGTCAGAATTGGAAATTGAATATTTGCCTGTAGTTTTTTTTAAGCATTTGTAATATATACATTTTAAAAAATAGCGTGGAGGCTTTTGAATAAATTAGTTAATTTTTTCTAAAGGTGATAAGGGAAGTTGAATCCAAAAGTAACAAAAAGAGAGGACATTTAAGCAAGGAGAGGGTTTCTGACATTTTGGTGCAAAATATCCTGCCTCCCACATATGATATTTCTCTTAGCTTTTTGCTAATAGCAAACAGTGGTCCAGACTCCCTAGAGACTGGCCATGTTGACAGCTGAAAAACAACATGGTCACTTCTGGTAATGTCAGATGAAGCCAACTCACTCACCATGTCAGTACCAGACATTTCTCTAGTTCTAAATTAAAATCTTATGAGCCAGGGTTTGTCTTATTTTTTTGTACTGCTTTGGTCTATTGGGAGATATATATATATATACACACACACACACTGAATATGTACATTGATATATATATATATATATAAAATAAAGACTTTAAAATTAGGAAAAAAACTAAGAAATTTGATTTTGTGCCATTTCTTTCATTAAAATGTATTTTTTCCACTCACTAATTTATGTGTAACACTAATAAATTTTCTTATGTAGTGATCTAAGCTTCAATTTCTCAGTTCATTAATCCCAACAATATTAATTTGTTTTAGGCGCAGTGTTACAAGTTTATAGCTGTGAAGACTTATGCCTTGTGAGTATATTGTACAGATCTACTGTAACATTAGAGAGGAAAATAATTATGATTTTGTGCTTTACACGCATCTGGATTATTATTAAAATGCATTTGACTTATATAAACTTCAAGACTGTTTAAAGTGTTTATTATTACGAGCAGCACAGCTTATATAGCTATTCGAAAATACTAAGAGCGACACTGATGTATCAGCAGTTCAACCAGTTAAATGGAGGTCAAGGGTTGGAAGTAGGATATGAGAGGAGAACATGTTCTAGTTAAGCCCTCAAGGTGTATCCAACTGATGGAAATACCTGATAGTGCATAACCTTTACAGCTCATTAGCAATTTATATATTCAAGCTCAAAGTATATCTCTGTTCTATATAATACTACCAATCCCAAGTTTTGTTTTAAAAAAAGATAAAAAGTGTACATATGTGTGTGATTGCACAAGGAACATTTATCTAAGTTTCAACAGTTTAATGTAGCCATTTTATTTTTCAATACATATTTATACACAGTACCACCCCCACTAAGCATATTCTAGTTAACATGTTAGAGGACCCTGTACAAAAGGCATTCCAAATAATAATTTACAGCTCCCATCTCCACTGCAGGGTACAATGCAATCAGTCATCTTGGGTGATGACACCAGGCCTGGGGAAGGTAGGCTTCCTGTTTTACTAAATAGGAGACAATCGCCTCGCCTGGCAATGCCTTTAGCCCCGTTTACCTCCTAACCGGAAGTAGCAGATTGGAGGGGTTATACAGATCACCCAATGTCCCTTGCGGGTGCAAATTTAGTATGTGCCCATGTACACAAGCCATCTACTACAGAGTCTTTTCAAGGAAACCTGTCTTGAGAGGAATACTATTGTTCCAGTTTAACGGCTCAAAGTTTGGAAACCAAATGGTCCTCATGCCATCCAAGCAACCACAACTTTCAGGAGGTCAGCTAGCATATATCTCTCATAACAGGCCTCCTTTTTAAGACATGTCAGAAGGTAGGGGGACAAGGTAAGGGTTCATGCAATATATAATAAGGCATTCTATCGTAAATACTTAAATATAGTATGCTATTAATTGTACATACATTTTGAATCATGAAGTCTCTGGTGTTTTGTGCCATTCTCAAAGCAAACGCCAAATGGAAAAACGATAGAGATGCCACCTCCCACACATGCAGTATACCCTCCCAAACCATCTTCCTCTCCAGATTCTATATTTAAAACATATTTGAGAAAATAACACATCTTGAGGTTTTCAATCACTCTAATTTACATTTAGAATTCAATGTATTTGAAGAGACAAGTCCGATCAGATGGCTTAGTAGTATTCATTTAATTGATAAATAAATCCAAAATCATCTTTACAGTAGACTTTGCCTACATACTTTTTGAGTTTTGCGATATATATACATTGTATTAGATACAACAAAATGTAATCAAACAGTTGCTAATAATTAACTTGAATTTAACTACATTTTGTTTTTGTTTGTTTTTTAAATATTATAATGTGTTCTTATTTCAACTGGAAGGAATGATGGATGTTGGTATTAAAAGAAAAAAAAATCAACAGTAAACGACTATCTTATTGCACAATTAAAAATGAAAATGTCTCACATTATGCAGCACTTGTTCTAGCTTTATCAATTTCAAGATTTTGGAAATGTGGAAGTGTAATACATGTCTGAAAAATAAGAAAATATTTGAGAGCATATACTGTAACCTATGGCATTAAATAATATATCTTAGATCTGGGAACATTTATTGTACAGTTCAATTCTCTTCTATTCAAAGGACAATGCAGAAATTGTGACGTGAACTTGTGTATGCCATAGAAACATGTGGTAAATGTATTCAGTGTCCTGTCACTCATTGCTATAGCTAAGAGGGTCCCCATATGAAACCTCTTTAAAATTTTAATATCCCTTCAAACCCAAGCTGTGTCTATGCCAATGTGTAGGGGTTTTTTCCAGAAATAAAGGGGATAAGACATATTAAATAACTAGCGATGGGGGAACTGCTCTATAATGTTTAGGATTTTATATTCCTCCCTAGAGTTCTTTCACAACTCTAATACTGATAACAATTTTTCAGCCAATTTGCTTTAAGGGCAACAGCACTTTCTTTTCAGGCCAGATCCAAGGAGAGTAGAAGAACTTGGAAAACTTTGAGGGTAATCCATATTCCTCTATAAAAGGGAAATGTATTGCCTGAAACAAAGTCAAATTTAAGTGTTGCTCATCACAACCAGCCATTGTGCTTTCATTTTCTAACCTGAATGAGATATGGATTCTAGTTGATTGGCATAAGCAACATATTCTTTGCAATTTGTTTTTTAAACTAGACTATTGGGGTCCAGTGAAATTGTAATTTGCCTGTCAAAACACATATTATGTCACTAGAGCTCAATGCACATGCTATTGTTTATAACAAACTCAACTCACCTTGAAGTCCATTGCCATTTGCACTGGTGCAGGATGGTGGAGGGGAAGCTTGGGGCCTGACGACTGGGGCAAATGCGCTCTTTTGTTTCACTGCGGAGATGACATTTGCAGGTGAGAATGAGAAAATGCCGTGTGTACTGCTACAGTTTGAAGGGAGGGTGACCGAAGAGGCTGCCATTGTAGGACTTGACGGTACTACTGCAATAAAGCAAAAATAATCAGGACTCAAAAGGAGTTTTTTTTTTTTTTTACCCCATGGCAGAACATAAAAAAGAGAGTGACGCAGCCTTGTGTTTTAAGGTTGGGAATAAAAGTAAAGTTAAAAAAACGCTAAACTAAAAAAAAAGAAATAACTATGATGGCATGGCCACTCTCAGTCCGATGAAACTGGGGTTTTATGTACCGAGCACCATGGAAGGTACCTGATCTCATTGTTGTCTACATTTGGGATTATTATTACAAAATGTGACGCCAGTGCATGCCCTGTGTCATAAATGTGTGTAATATTAATGAGCTCTATTTGCTCATTAATATTTTCTTGCATGTTCAAGTTGTCTTTTGAAACAGTTGCAAGTCTTACAATGATAACAGTGGCGCCAGAGTATGCCAGTACTACTCAAATACACATTTGAGCTATCTGCTGACCCCTATTTGCCAGGTACCCTCCCACTTTAAATTGCTACTTTTGGCAATGGTTTTAAAAGCCAACAAATTCAGTTCTCTCCTATCTCCCCTTCAGGGTCCACTTTAAAGATCCGGCCCTTGGGTATGTGGCTGATCCATGCTTATTGATATTGTAGACCAATTGGAAGAGAGGGAGACAAATTTAGAAGAGAACTGCACTCAGCGTTTGGCAGCTTTCAAAAACATGAATTGATCTGGGCTGCGTAATGGTAAATGTCCTCCAGTCATATTGAACTGAGCCTATTTCTGCTCCCAGTGCCGTCAAACCTTGCCGTCAAAGTGTACATGGTATAACCAAAAAAGCTACCATGACAGCCAATCAAAATACAGCAAGTAGAAAATGTTCTGCCAATGGTAATGGAAATTTCCTTAGGACAACTTGTTAATTTCTTAATGTACCCCAAATTGGTTTGAGAAGCTTGTCAATGGGTGGAGAAGGTCTGTGGGTGCATAATCTTATGGCATGACAAAGCTTTGTCACAGGCATCAGGCTAATCTTGATTGAACTGGGCTTACAAGAGTGAATAGTTGGATTTTATATCATTGTTAGTGTTTATATTTATAATGTGGTTACATATTGTGGTTTATCTACAGTAAGGCTATTTTTATCTATGTAGAAAGGATGCATAGGGGTTTAGCCAGTGCCACATCCTAATGTTTTTTTCTATTAGCACACGTTTCAAGAAAATGACTTTGATTTACTAGGATAGGTTTGTCATGTCATACTAATTATATTAAGCTGCTTAAACACCACAGCATTCTGATAACAAAAATAAGTATGATCATGATATGGAACTCTTGTACAAAGACCACATCCTTTTCTTTTTAAAGAAGTAAGATGGTAAGTATGAACCACACTATTCATGTATATTGCTGTGGGCCATACGGTAATATTACTTTCAACTTCTTTTATGTTCAGCCTCCAGTCACCCATCCCTTTGTCCAGTAACTGATAGCAACAAAAAAAAGCTTAAACAAAAAAAGTAATGAACTAATACATAAAAATAAACATGCAAGCAAGAAGATTAAGTAGAATGGCTAAGAACACTCACTGCCGTAGGGGGAGTTGGCTGATGAACCATTGAGGAAGCCAGGTGACCCAGGAACTCCTAAGTTGGGCATTCCAGCATTCCCGTACCCGTTCATGCTATTGCTGACTGTGTTGTAGTTGGACTGCTGGGGGGTGCTACTGGGAACATATCCTCGTGGCGATACACTGCTCGTGTTACGGCTGTAGCCTACTGAAAGAAATGAAAACCCCACACAAAAAAAAAACAAAGTAATGTTACAATCATTTAAAAAAGACACTTTGGTTTTCTTACTGAGCAAATCCACATCACACACTACACAGATTTATTGATTACAGTGCGTTACTTCACAATGCCTCTTACTGGCCCTATCAACAGTTGCAGTTTAAGATAACCTTATCACATCGACCCTACTTAAATCATCTACGATGGCACACTATGTTGTTCCCTCGCAGGCTGAGACAGCCAACAAAAGCCGTCTTCGATCTAATTGTGTCAGCTTCTTTCACATTTATCCTTACTAGCAATTATCAACAGGCTTCATTCCTGGTTTGTACCAACACAGAAGATGAACTTTCAGCCTTTTCAGACCTTCAAATGCCACCAGTGACAGGCAACAACTTGTTTGTTACACTGATTTCATCTTAAAAGGCTGCTTTTAAAATGGGGGGGTGGTGTTGCGCATCTATGGGCTATATTCCAACATTTAGTACTCTTTATGCTGTTACCTTTTGCAGCTACCAGCAAGCTACTACCCTACAAGACTGAGAAAACTAATTACCACTTTTCAAATGTCAAAACAACTGCAAATATACTTGCTCTACTCAGCAGCAGCCTGATAATATGATAAACGATAACATGCTTTGTGGCAATGGGGGAGAACGCTAAGCTACTTGTCTGATAGGGATACATGTTAAGATCAACATAAAGGTAGATCAAACAATATAAATAGATATTAACTAAGCACTGTGAGCAGCATCTGGAGTTAGGCCTGGCATAGCCACCTACCTTGGTCATTAGCTTGAGATGCCTCTGAAACATTAACTGCTAGCTGGCTGCTGAAAGAATTTACTCCCATCATTCCGCTGTGAGATGGTGTGTTGGCAAGAGAGGGGATCTGGTTGTGATTACGTGGCACACTGTATAATGCTTCAGCAATGTCAGCTGCTCGCTTCAGGATTATCTCCTACAGAGCAAGAAACACAGAAAAGGTTACCATCTAATGCAGGTTTGTTTCGACAGGCATCAAATCAAGACTGTTCTAGACTGGAATCATAGACATTGGATTGGATGAAATGCTTGCCCAGTGATTTGCGTTGCCTATTAAAAAGGGCTCAGAACTTTCTACAAATCTTCACCTTGGGCTAAGCGGGCACAGCATGTGTCAAACTGTGTGTTGCAGCAGTGTAGTTCCTACTCAGCATTTCCAAGCACATGGAGGCGATATATGACCAAGTGGACTGTAATAAGCCGATTATTTATAAACAAGGGCCTTATGTATCAAAGTTTGTGAAAGAAAAATTGCAATGGTTGCCCAGAGCAACTGCATTTTTACTTTATATCTTCCCAAGCAGATTATATAATATACAGAAAAATCAGTGTGGGCAAGAAAGATAGTTCTTTTTGCAGAAATGTCTTCTTTCAGACACCTTGAGAAACCGTGCTTTTTTAGAATTTTCTTGCGATTCGCAAAAAAGAAAAACCAAAAACAATTCCCAGAATTCACCTGACTGTCATTTAGTGTAACTGCTCTTCCCATAGGATTTCAAATACACAAAAGAAGCACACAACTGGAAGTTCTCATATAAGCTACACTCAAGAGTTTAGTGTACCTGCTCTTCCTATAACATTCCTAAAACACAGGAGAAGTATACAACTGACATTTCTAATTAAAGCTACATGTGACACCAACTGTATAACTGTATACCACTAACAGTAGCTTTTACAGGACACAGCACTTGTGTGCTTTAAAGGGTCTCTCCCTTTAAAGCACACAACTGAAAACCCCCTGAATTGTTTTATCTATCAGTCCCGGTGTTGAGATGTTTGTAGCCTAGTTCCTTCTTTTGATCACTTGTTCGGGTTGGCAGACTTGCTTCTTTTTATTACATTTTGTTATGGAAAGTGGGGGTAAGATCTCCCCAAGAGAGAAGGGTAACTGAATCCTCCATCATCTATAAACACTACAGTTTTGATTTTTGGGTAGACTAACCATTCTAAGACAGCATACATGTGCAACATAAGAACTGGCCCCAGTTGGTTAAATAAAATTGACTGAATACATGGCTGTTACAATTTAGTTAAATATTTTCCGTTCCCTGCGCTTGGTAGGTTTAGTGCAGGCTTTCCTATTAGTCACTGTATATTTTGGACCGAATTCAAGGTTACTCTCTCATCTTAACGATTGCCTATGCTTTTGGCACCTTACGTCTAATTGTCATTTCTGATAGGAAAACTAGCTCTGAGAAAAAAAAATGGCAAAGATGAAGCTTTTTTTTCTTTTTTTTTTTTTATCCCCTTCTCTGGTTTTTTTTCCCCTTGGTGATGCTCATCACATTACACTGCCCTTAAGGTGACTGGCAAAATTGTCCACGGCAAATAAGACTGTATTGATATCTTGCCAGGTTCACGCATGGTAGTTCCTAAATTGCATATTTCTGAATGGATTTTCCAACGTGCATTAATTACTTGCCTGGTTGTTGTGCGGCATTCCATATAAGGCTTCAACAAGGTCTGCTGCTCTCTTCAGTAATACTTCCTGTAAGCAAGACACAAGAGGAAGAGGGGTTTGTGTTATTGTTTAAGAGGTAGCCAAGACTAAAAACTATAACACAACAGAAAATGTAAAAGCAGGGCTATCAAAAAGTCAAACAAGACTGAACAATACGTCAAGGTTATAACTTATTACATCGAGACTCCAGATAGGAAGGAATTTGACTTTTTTTAATAGCATGTTTTCAGACAAAATATTTAAAGGCTCCTACTGAAGAACTGATGTTTAACTGAAAAGCAGGATATTGTTTTTAAATCAGTGGTTGATGAGATCTTAAAATGCAGCTTATTACCTAATTTACCTATGGTTCTTGTCATGGGAAAGCCGTTGATATACAGTCCAGTACCTGGCACCCTTGCAAACTGTGTGACTCTCCCCTGCCCAGATACATCATGTAGGCTGACAACACAACTTACAAAGAGTAGAAGCACAAGGAGTACATACTGTATCATGGGATATAACCTTTTATATTTCTGGTTTGGAGTTGCTAAGCTGATGTGCTGAGCAGAATGATTAACCAGTGGCAGGAACTATTAGAAAACTACTGAGCACGTCAAAGCAGAGCAACTCCGAACCAGGGAAAAAACATATGATTAAACAGATCCCTTCATGTGTGGACAGCAGTTACAGAAATTTAAATGCAACAACTTTTTTTTGTAATAAAGAAATTGTTGTGTTATTCCAAAAGTAACACTGGGGTAAAGCCATTTGTTAATTTTATATACGCATACATTTTAGTCATTTAATCATCAGGATTCTAGAATCCACCTATCTGGTTGTGATCAGCTGGGATAGATGCATGGCGTGGAATCATGTAACTGTAGTGATGAATGAGGGAAATAAACGCCAAAGATTTAATAATGAAGTCTTGCGGGTATTAAACAAACAAACACATGACAGAGATATGAAAAGCACAGGCACTTGTTAATTCCTAGCACTTTAGTGGTGAAGAACAATAAGTAATTTTCCATATCTTAATTAAATTGGCAAACTCCTTAAAGACAACATCTCACCTCTAATTCATGCCCGAAATTTGCCAGCGAGTTCAATGCTTATTCCTCTTTATTTTGAACAATAAAGTGAATTAGCTTCGGTTAATGTAGTTTTTTTTCCATAATGACATTAAGAAATTTTTTAATTAACCTCTTTGACTGTGCACTATAAAGGACTTCATAAATGAATTCCCATTCAGAGAGTAGAGTGCTTTTGCCTAAGGGTAGAGATGCATTGAGTTTGTCTTATCCGAGCCTGCATGCATACCTCCACTTTACGATGGTTGGGATTAATCTCTAGTTTACTTAATTTTTACAAGGAATCTCGCCTGTTTGACTTCTCTTCTCCTCAGAGGATGCTGCCATCATCTAAAAACATTTATTCAATGCTGTATTAAAGAAAGAGCCGCCTTCTCTACATGGTGTCTATTCATAGCTTGGGTGGCCACTCTCTACCTATAGGCATTAGACAGCTGGAAGATTTAAATGATGGTTCCACTATTATCATGTGTATGGTATGCAAACAGCCACAAGAATCCCTCTCAAAAAAAGGAGGAAGGGTAATATAATTTGTTAAATGGCAGGCCTGCAAGTGAATGCCCCACCCCATGCATGTTTGAACTAAACACAAGCTCTTTGCTGAGCTGGAACACCTAACCATGGAGAGAACTAAGTGCCATTTAAAATGAGCACCACTATGCATGTACCACATGTAAAGTGCTATTAAATGCCTAACATACTAATACAACATACATCCACTGCAGTACATCACACTGCATAGCATGTGGTATGCTGCACTCGAAAACAAGGCACATGCCCATTTTTGCCTGCATTGTGATACGTTAGCAGCCCAATTAAATACATGGGCTGCCTTAACACAGCGCAATGTGCCCCAACAGTTCCCACTTAAACGACCAGCATTATCTAATATTCAACTTGTTATACATTTATCCAAAGTCTAGAGATACTTTTACAAGAGGAATGTTTGACTCATGGAAAACCATCGCTTAAATTGATTCCTACATCTCAGGAAAACTTCCCTGACCTCCTGTCTTACTCTCTAACAAAAGGATAACTCGTCATAATTTGCAAAATAATACACTTGTCGAACCTAGACATGATGAATGTCTAGCACGTGGATGATTAATGCACAGTTTTCAATTTCAACGGACATGCTGTTTTTGCGGATCCTGGAGGTTAATACACATTGATGCTATCTTTAATCTTTACAAAAATTCAAAGACGTGAGATTGGTGTCACCTCGACTATGAAATTCGCTCACCATCTGAAGACCCCCGGCCTGATTCATTGTTTCTTGCATCTTTCAGAACACTCCTATTTCGGGTCCTTTATTTATCAAGATTAATCACTGTAGGCATCACTTTTTCTGCGCGCCATACGTTCGCAGGAATAGCACTTAATCCACAAAGTTATCGGATGGATGGCTTTTAGAATGGGCATTTACCTCTGAAATTGGTGTGTATGCTTGATGTTGCATGCATCTACTTTGCATACAAATAAAGAATTATACTTGTCATGAAGCAGGTATAATCAATGGAAGGCACAGCTGTCTTAATCAGATTTCATCAGCCCGAGCAGCTCTCTGTGAGCAAGATAAAGTGTTTTTCAGAGGTGTTAATAATTACTCATAATCTCTCCTATCATATCACAAGACTTTTTACATGCCTTTCAATTTTAAGCAACGATTAAAGCAATTAAGATTTCTGCATTTACAAGCTATTTTTCATTTCCAGGATATATCCTACACCTACTTGTCCATATGGTACTTTTGCAATCGTAACATAAGGATAGTTTAGGAAAATTACATATGCACTTATCTCTAATCTGCCTATTACTGGATAGTATCTTAACTAATGAACCTGACTTTCGAAAGCAGCTCTTAAGTGCCGGTCTTGTCATAGGCGAGACACAGGGCACCAAAAAAATGTTTAAAAAAAGTGTGTAACCCAATCAGTCAAGGATGTTCTGAACAAGTTTGTTTTGTTACAATATGTCGAGCTTATGCATAGCGCCTCATGCTGTGAATACGATTAGCCCTGAATGGTTGTTTGAAAAGCATTTCAATGGAAATTTTCGAAGCCACGGCCATAAGTGTAATTGGCTGCCTTTCAATAGGACATAACAGGCTTCAAGTTAAATGGAAACTATTAAAGCTCAAATGATTTCTAGCGTTGTTTCATGACAAATGTACAGTTTTATTATTACGAGTGCGCGCTCTTGTACAGTGGTCGCCGCCGATTTGAATATACAAGATTATTCACAAGCCCCGATCATCGGGAATGGTATATATCATCACAGTTAAAAGAGGTAACCAAGGTGACGTTGCTTCAGGTGCTAATGTCATTATAGAACTGTAAAGCAATTATTCTGTTAGTTCTTGCCTACGGCTATGAATACATTGAAGAGTACAGAGCCATTAGATGTAGCTACTTCAAAAAGCGGGGGAAAGAAGATGAATTTTAATGCATGGGTAATTGCTCAACATGACCGCATTCCTAATAAATTTCTGTATATTAGAAGAAAAAAAAACCCTGAATATATTTATGTGCGACGCAAGAAACATGGGAAAACACACATGGAATGCTTGCAATTAATTTTAGGGAGAAATCGTTTTAGCGCTGCTGCGCACCTTTTAATGCAGATAATTTGTTAAGGAACCGTTCTAGGCAGAAAAGTAATTTGTTTTTGCCCTGATTTCTTTCCACTGCTACTTTGTGTCTCTGCGTATTATCCTGGGTAATTGTGGACCCAGAACTGCTACTTTTCCAGCAACAAAAGGTTAATGTTACACTTCATCTCCCTTTATGTAGATTAAAATACACGGTGCAGTGTACATGTAGGTTGTGGTTAATTATATTTGATCTCATCTTTGAAGAAAATATATCATAGTTGTCTGTATGAAAATGTGCCCTGCGCATGTTATCATTTGAGACCGTAATTAGCAAAGCCGCAATAACTTTTGGAGGCAAAACAAGCAGTTCAGGCATTGCCTGCAGGAAGAGCAAACAAAAATGATTCCATAGGAATGCTGTAAGTGCTCTGTGTAGCTGACAGAGGTGTTCCAACCTATTGTAAAGGACGAAAGTTTTTCTTTTTATATAGAAAAGGGAGTGCTCTTTTAAAATAAATGTTGCCTTGACTGTGTAAAAAAAAATGCGTAAGAAAGTTATTAGTTATGTGTTACTAGTTACAGCAAGAAAGGAGAGCTCCTGCCAGCACCAATATTAAGATATCTGCTAAGTCTACAGAAGGATACCATAGATGTTAGATGGGTGCCCACCCAATTTGGACAATATCCAAATGCACTCGGCACAGATCACAAATCTGACGATGTCCATAGAGAAAGGCTGCATATGCAAGCTATATCCCACAACCCTCCGGGCATTGAACTGCTCTACCAGGAGCTTGTATATAGCTAGTACTAGCCAAATTAAGTGTAGACACAAACATACACATTCAGTGGTACAGAAGTATAATGCAATATTAATACTCTTTCTAATTATATTGTCAGAGAACTGACATAACCAGGCAGTTAGGACCATTGCACACTACCTCAATTACCGTGTGGTTTAACATGAGGTCATCAGTGCAGTTTTTTCACCAATAATAGCACTTACAAAACAAGAACAATTGCTCAGAAGGTTCCATTGCTTCATCGGTTCTATAAATGCAGCAAAATAATGTTCATGGGCATTACCCCAGTGGCCCTCATGATGTCAGGTGGAAATTTTTCAGCAGTTTAATTGGTTATTCTCTTTTAAAATAGGATTGATGTTATTACTATGGGTTTAGGTGTCTTCAGTTTGATCTAGGGGCCTCTGTGGTTCCGAACATTGGACACTGTCACACTCGGATTGATGTCACACTTGATGTGTGAATAAATTACGACTGATACAACCTGGATATGCTGGTGACATTTCTTGATAGATTGCCTCAGTGCTGACCATCCCCCAGAGCCAGATTATCCAAAAGGTAACTCAGGCAGGAGTTTAGGGCCTGGCGGATGTCCAGGGGGCCCAGCTATAGTCTTTGTACTCCTGTAGTATACAGCACAATTGGTCAAAACTGTACACCAGCCTGTTATTTTAAAGGAGGGTATGCAGCTGTAGTCTTATGGGGTCTTGCCAGTACAGAAAATGCAAATGGGACATCTTCTCTATGCCAATAGGAAACTTCATCGAAGTCAATGGAAGGGTCTGAGGAGGGGAGGATCAAAGCTGCCACCATGTCCAGGACCCCATCTAACTCTACCTTTACCGAGCAAGACGAAGGCTTAAACTTTTTTTTTTAAACTGATTTTTGTGTATGGCCAACAATGAAAAATAGATGTCACGAGGCCAAATAATAGACAAAAGAACAAATATCTTCCAGTAGGCTGGAAAATATATACATAATTGATGCTAAAAAATATCAGATCTTCCATTGTTCTGATGAAACAGAAGCTTGTATCAAACTGGTATTTGTCTTTGTAGTGTACATTGTAAGCAGCGCATGTATGCCTTATTGGTTTTCTGTCCACAGCAGAATTACCCATCAAGCCTTGTACATTATGCATCTTCAGAAGAGGAAAAAAAACTAAAAAAGAAATCAATAATGTGGTAATATTATCAAGTCTGGGATGAAGTCAGCATTCATCCAGGCAGGCTTGTATTGAGATACATGTTTTACATCTGCACAATCCCATCTCATTGCTATTATTTTTTCTCCTCAGCTTCTGACACTTACAGCTGATTCTCTTCATTCCATTTTCTTTTTCTTTTTTCATTCAAAATGTATGTTAAGGCCAATTGCTGTTTTACTTAGGAACCACCGTGACCCTTGTAAACCAAGCTCAGACGGCTGGCTTAACAATGATGAATCACTTGGCAGTTTAATTTACATGCCGCTGAACTCCACATTTGGGTCCATTAGAACAAAATCAAATATTTATGTTGTTTATTGAAACTGCTAGATTTCATCTCATTCAGTGGCCGTTTTAGATGGAGCCTGAACAATACTGTTTCACCTGAATTAAAAGAGCCAAGTAATGGTGGTCGACCAGGCTAGAGTGGCCTGTCATCGTATTCTAGAGCTTACGAAGAAATGCGCATTCTAAGTTTTACATTTTGTTGGCAGGAATTTATTAACAGTGTGCGTTTTACGGTTTGCATTTTTATGGTCTGGGGTGAACTTTTGTACTCCAAGTCCCATGTATTTATCACATCAAATTATTTGCATTGTATTTGGATGAATGGAAATTTGGTGCATAATGGCACTAGAATCGAAAAAAATAAAGTAAGAGATTTTTTTTTTGGTACACACTGCACCTTGCACACTCTAATGAAACAATCTGGGGGAAAAAGATTGCTTTAGACTTTCTCTTTAGATTGTGATAAATGTGATTTATATTCACAAATCTTGTCTGTTTTCTTTGGCTCAAACTCCTTAGTATTGATCTGTCTTACTTGACATTGTGATATATGCTTGCCTGCTGGGGTGCATAACAGAAAAAACGATATATGCAAGAGAAAAAAAAATTATTGAGATAATCAGCCACTTATGCAGTTATTTTACTCACGTATAGAACACAAACTTATTCCTTAGAGTCTTAAAAAGAACACTGAATCATTCTCATCAGTATAAGAAATTACTTTAAAAGGAGCTTACAATCTAATGTCCATGAATTAGTCCTACAAATGTGGACACTCAACAGGCTGAAGTAGATGGAATCCAATGAACCTACTAGTATGCCTTTGAATTGTGGGAAGAACCACAGCACCCCATACAATAATGGTAAGAAAATACAAACTCTGTGCATTGATCTTTTTCAGAACTGCAAGTGCTAACCAGTTGGTCACTAAACTGTTTGTTATTTTACTCTTAAAATTCAAGATGGAATTTCATCTGTGGAAGGTTGTGTTCTATTTATTTAAAAAAAAAAATCTTAACTTTGGTTTGCTATGTTCTGGTTTCCCACTTTTAACTCATCTAGCACATAGCTTTCCAAGAATCAGCCTCCAACAAACTATAAATGGCGCATTGTCTTTTGGGGTGTAGGTCTTTCTGCTGAACAGCCAAAAAGATGTATATACTAAATAAGCACAGGCGGGAAATATGGCAGTTGATGACACGAAAATTATTGGTGCATACAATGGGATTTATAAAATAAAAAAATAGCGTAATAAAAATAGCGTCTAAAATAAGGGATTTTTTTAAATTAATTGTCCAACTGATCACTGCTAAAGCAACAATTATGGGGTGGCAAATAGCTGGATATGTATACCAGGACATTTATGTGTTGGCTGTTCATTACCAGTCATATAAATTCTATACAAAAACATCAGAGGATGGTAAATACAAAAACCCAGTTTACTGGATATTTGCCAGCAAAAAATATGCATTGTTCTACCAACTATTTTAATGACTATTCCTCTTGTTTTTCAAAAACTACAGATTGACGGAAGCAATCCTATTGCCAGTTACAGAATAGAATTCTCCCATCAACAGCCGTAATGTCATATAAGAGCAGCTAGGAAAGGATTCTAGAACACAGAGAGATGCATGGAATAAATAAATGTGTGAAGCCACATAAGAAGCTAAAAATAAGTAATTATTTCAAATAATGTGTCTGAACAAATGAAAGTAAATATTGATTATTTACAGTCCGTTATAAAAAAAACAGAGAACAATATCTATAAGAACCACTTATCTTTAATGATATACATCTTATCAAGCCTATGTTATGTTCATGATGGGTCTAAACAAGCCAGGCAGCATTTTCTTTTTTTTTTCTTTTAATCTAGTGCATTTAAATGAAAAGTCCCTGTAGATATTAATATGTGGACTTAATTTGCTAGCTTGCTAAGTCGGGGACTTATAACAAAACCTTTGTAAACAAAAGATTAAACTGAATCGAGCTTTAGAAAATGAAAGGAAAACAAGAGTCACATAATCACAGATCAGAGTGGGGCTGGTTAGATGGAAATCACTACAGGCTACTGGAGTGGAAAATGTTTAATTGAACTATTTCATTATGCAGGAAGTTTATGTTCTCCTAGCAGAATCGAAATACTTGTATGATGCTTCCTTCCCTTGAAGGAGTGCAATCTTTGATTTATTCTGCCGCTACTTACAGAAACTCTGAGATTTGTTACTGGAATAATCTGAAATTGAAGAGGAGATGCCAATATCTCCATTTCAATGCAGACACAATGTTATGCCCCAATCTGGACAATGTAGAAGACATTAGAAATCACACTGGAGGCTGACAGCGATGCCAAGGCTCTTCCTCACAAGTAGATGGTAAAAGTAAATCTGTCACATCCAAAGACAAATCACAGGGGTGTGGGACAGATTGATACTGTGTAGAAATCACTTTTACTTTTTAAATTCTTGTGGCCATTGCAATGCAAACTCAGCAGTTTCTCTATAGGAGAAGATCAAAACTGCACTACAATGGGGAAAACGAGAAATACGAAAGTATTGGTTATATATTTTTTAACAGTGAGCAATAGCAATCTTGCTACTACTACTACTAGGGGTACTAGAGCCCTTCATAACTAGCAGAACAGATAATAGATGGAATATTAGGAAAAAAGATATTCTGAAACAAGTCTGTGTAAACTAGTAAAAAGTAAAGAAAAGCGTTTCATTGGACAGTGATCACATTGGGACATAAAACTGCCCAAATAATAACTCTACTGATTTTAAATTAGTGAGAATCACTGCAATGGACCTAGGGGCAGCACCTCTTCAAACTGGGCTACATTATTGATAATATGAAAATACTAAAGTTCTGAAATCTGTTACTACAGATTGTTTAATTCATTCATAGGAAACATTGCCTTGTTACACAGTTTTCATGACTCAATTAATTTTATAGTTTTATAGTAAGGCAACTGGTGGTTTAGATCCCGATTTCTGGTTTAAAAAAATCTCCATAGAATAGATCTGTTATGTGGCAGGAAGTCAAAGCCCTTCTTGTCCCCTGGTGTGGGACAAGAACAACTGAATAAAAACTTTGTTTAATAAATTGGAAACAGGAATACATCATCTTCGTTATAAGAGGAGTCAGACTCACTGGCAATATGGTCATTTATCCAATTAGTGAACCACTGCACTTCCAAACAATCTCCTTTGGTTGACACTACATTGGTAATTTGTGCATAATGAGTGACCATTATTGATGAACTGAAAACAGTAAATTACAACCCTTAGGTAACTATAGGTAACTAACCTTTGGTAACCTTTCAGGATCTCCCGGATGCCTTGGAATAACTTTTTGTAATCTCTGAAATCCGTAGTCTATGGTTGGTTCATTCAGGGCTGGAAAACAAAGGTTTACAGCAGGCTTAGAACGATATGAAATATACACAGAAAACAGATGTAAATACATGGTATTCAGCTACAGTCTGTGACATAGTCTACACCAATTACACCAATGCCAACAATAGATTAACTCATACAATGCTAACCTAATAGATTGTAACGCTTTCGAAACCCGATTCTACCATTTATTTCTACTGAGTTAGCCAACAAATGGTATCACTTTAACTCACTGTCTACCTTTATGGATGGCGAACATGGTACAATACTCTGCTTTTATGATAGATAGATAGATAGATAGATAGATAGATAGATAGATAGATAGATAGATAGATAGATAGATAGATAGATAGATAAATCAGTATTACCTCTTTATGGTCATTCAAAAATCAGTTGATAACCACCTTTCATGGTGACCACAATGAACCAACTACCTGTTACCTTTACTCACTCTCGTGTTGTATGATAGATAGATAGATAGATAGATAGATAGATAGATAGATAGATAGATAGATAGATAGATAGATAGATAGATAGATAAATCAGTATTACCTCTTTATGGTCATTCAAAAATCAGTTGATAACCACCTTTCATGGTGACCACAATGAACCAACTACCTGTTACCTTTACTCACTCTCTGCTTTTGCACCTTACACCTGTTAGAGCATCCACATCTCTACAGATTACATATATAGGTGCCAATTTGAAGAATTTTAATTTTGACTTAAATGGTTCTTTCTTTTTTTTTTTTTTGGTTATCAGGGAAGACATTCTAAAACAGCGGCCTGCTAGTCTTTAGTGCATCACTGGATAATAAAAAAACAACAAAGTAAAACTAAAGAGCATGTCTGCGGGCCATAGTTCGTATTGCATGGGTGTGCGGACTATATCAACCCATGCTTTTCATACTAGTGGAATGGATTTATAGGTTACTTGCAATTATGACATATGCCTGACTATTGCCTTTTCTGGATTTATTCCAGTGGTTCTTTTTTTTCTTGTCTAGCAGATTGCCTGAGTACAAACCTAGCAGGAGGTGCACTTAATCTTGCAAAGCTTTAATAATCTGTGAATGGCTGACTACAAACTGATGTAGGGCATATCATTCTACTGCTGCAATCCACTAGCCTTGTGAAATTGCAGGCCACAAATAGTAATTAATCTTTTTTTTTTCTCCTACCCCCTCAAATTGTAATTTTGACTATGAACTGCGCTTGGTCGTAAATCAGCGACACATACTGCTGTGTACAGTGCATGAATCATGATCAGGAGTGTTCGACTGCACACGTTGTGTTTAACAAGCTATAGACGAAGTCACAGGGCTTTATTACCACCCTGCCAGACTTAACACAGAAACCAAGCCTGAAGGCCCAGGCGTTTGAGTTGAGATGAAAACACTGCTCTTATTAGTGGATATTACTTTGGAATGTTGATATGATTTTTAACCAAGCAAGTCCACTATGGCAAGTGCATCATAAATCAAAGCTTAGTTTTTCCGTCCGGCTTGCAAAAAACGTTATTAGTTTACCCATTTGTTACATAAAAAGAAGGCCAAGAACTCTAAAGTTTAGAGGACCATTACACCAAAAGTGTATTTTACAAAAGTTTTGGTAACCAAATTTAAAAAGCTATATTGAAAAGGTTTTTAGTGATTACGGTACTGAAGATATCCAAGTCACAGCTTGAGTTTGTGACCCAAGATAATTTCTTTATGTCCAGCAATCTCACTGAAGGAAGCTGAATCCAGGCTCTTCTCTGACAGCAATGGCTGATGAGTTGAAACATGCCACAGGGTAATACTAGAAAGATGTGCAAAATCTACTATGACTTTTGATATCCATGTATTTAAAGTGACGCTCTCACAAGGGAAGTACGGAGGCCGCCATTCCTGACCTCCTGAAGAAAATGCTAGTTGCTTGTCTATGTCTGACCTGAAATAAGCACAAGTGTCAGAATTCCTTCTCTATATCCTTGTTCCAGGTCATCAACTCCAAAAGCATTAAAGCCAAAGCTTAAGTTTGGCATCCATGGAACTGGCATTCTCAAAATGAGAGTTCAGCAATGGCAGCCTCTTTGGCTCTAACAAGATAAAGTCCTTTTAGGAAATCTAGGTTTTTGGCAGAGCTGGCATTAGACAGGGAAGAGAGGGGTGGAGATGGTGAAGGGGGACACTATAACTTTAATGAGTTAACATCATTAAAATTAGATAAATAATTGGACATGCAATATTAAGGATAAGTAAGGGTGGGGGCACATTATTCATTTTTGGGAGGCATTACCTCCTAATGTTCTCCTATGACGCTGGCTCTGTTTTCATTTTTAACCCACCTCTTTTAATATCGATTAGTCCAGCTGGCATTACGGCGTTTCTTAGTCCAAAATAATTAGATACCATTTCTAACAAGTGGTTGAGTTATTTGTCTAAACACGGAGCACTTATCTCGTAGACAGTCGCCCGTGTATACACTCGATAACATGACAGAAAGTTGAAGACTGCAATTTGATTTGACATTCCATCATGCATTCCGGAGACAAAGGTCCACATAGGAATGTGAAGTAAGACATTTTCTTGTTAATAAAGAATTGATCCAATGTATTGATTTTACATGACACGGCTTTTGCTGAGATTTTGGCCTTCTCTCTCTTTCTTTCTGCTGTACATAGTAAAGGCTTCTCAATGAACGCCTTTGCATCTGTGACACGGCAGAAGTCTTAACTCTCTCGGATGCATATTCTGTATATATATATAGGACCCACTTCATAATCAGGCTATTAATCATCAGAAGCTGTCAAAGCTGACTAAGGGGACAATTTGTCATGCTATAGGCCTACACAAGTGTGCAAATCCGTGGTCTCATGCAATATGTTGGGCTTGCACTGGGTAAAAGGACAACATCTTAATCGAGGAAGAACAATATAAAAAAGGAGCCTTTAGGTCACCAAACACAGACAGTAGTAGATGTGTGTCTGTGGTTGGCTGCTTTGTAGAACAATTGTACAGGTAAACTTCATGGAAATCCGAAAACCAGTGGGATGGAAATGTGTTTTTAATTTCCCTCACTGCAGTGGACAAACCTTGGTCAGTCTGGTGGTGCCTTCAGTATAAACGAATTGATGTGAATTTGATGAATGAAATATTGGATCCATTGAAAGAAGCCTTACCATCCCTTTGCCTTTTTGGAAGCGCAAGCGCAGAGGCCATCATACTCATCTTGATTATTGGGCAGGAAAAGGTATGCAGCCAGTGAAGTGTCCAGTCACCTGCCATGCACATGGGTTAAGGATTTTCTAGGTAGTGAAGGGAAGATAAGGATGTCGATTGCCCTAGAGTTCAAAATCAAGTCAGCAATGACGGGTGTAATTTTTCTGTCCTGACAGGTTCCCTTTGGTACCATGCAGGATTTAAAACCCTGAGCATATTAAAAACCTGCAATTTACAGGTTATGATAATAGATGCCATCACTTTAGTGCCACTTTTCTGCTCTTACTGATGAGACATTTATATTAAAAAAAATGTCATGGTGATGAGGAAAAGTGTATTCAACAACAACCAATCAGATCACAGATTTCATTTTGTAACCCATAAGAGGATTCAGCTTGCTGTGGAGCACTTTTAGAGTCATCTGGGCCCCATAAATGTCTGCATGTGGGAGCAGAGTAAAGCAGAAATTCTCATCCTTCTGTAACATGCCCAGCTATCTTTTCTGCTTGCCTAATTACTGTGACTGTTTGACTTAATGAAGCCGGCAGGATGAAAAGTGGTCAAGAAAAAGATAGATGGCTTCATGCTATTGATTTCATGCAAATGTTAGTGACAGGTGATAGAAGCTCTAATGCAAGCTTTCAGAAGCTTTATGACTTGTAATAACTATATGCTTTCATCTCTGAACAGATATTTCCATACATTTGAGATGCACTTACAGGGTTTTCCTCTTCATAAATGTAATTGAGAGTGTCATAGGGACCCATTCTGGCCCTTAGATGTGTCAGTGTCAAACAATAACACTGGTTATTTTTTTACTGCTCCTGCAGGCTAATATGATTGATCATGATCTTATCCAGGCTTAGAAGACTGGTAAAAGTATATAACAATGTTATATGTTGAACTTTACTCCGTTCCCATCAGGTCACTCCCAAAACACAACAGGTTATTTCGCTTCCAACCAATACTGTCCCAAGTAGCCCCAACTAAACATCAATGATTATGCTTTCATTTTTACTTTCATACACCCACTGTGAGCTGTCACCTGCAGAAACTTTGCTCCGCCATTGGTCCTTGTCCAGGTGGAATGAGCAGCAGCATCTTTCAACCCACTTCCTGTGAGTAAGGGTGTCACCATGCTGACCTGAGCTCACAATACATGTGCAGAGAGCTACACTCCTGTCATAACATCAGCTGTCCTCTCCAATACTGAAGGCCACCCGGGGCCACCATTGGGAGAAGATGAATAAGAACCAAGGATGTTATGTGACTGGCCAAAAAATCCCAAAAAAGTAATTAAAAAAAAAAAGAGTTTCAGGGGACGGTGTAAAAAAGATCTAGAGTTCTGATTTAAGTTGTGTTTGCCAGGACAAGTTTGAAACATATAGTCCCCATGAACAACGTTCCTTCCACTAGCTTTATTTTAAAACTTTTCATTAAACAGCCATATTGAGTTTGCACTTTTTGTTTCTGTGGGCACAGGGAGGGTGAAATAGTATTGACAGTGGACTGGTGACTAAAGCTCATACATATCTATATCTAGATGTCTCTCTGGTTGACTGCATTGGGCTGTAAAGTTCCTTGTGGGTAGGTACTAGTGGCCCAGTGTTCTCTAGAAATTGCTACTGAATACACCCGCTGTTTATAAAAAAGTAAAAAATATAACTGCAAAACAATTTCTGCATTAAAAATTGAGCTTCTAATTAATGGACTGCAACTAAGAGTTCACTAAATTAAATAAACAAACAAACAATGATGTTCCACCCTGCTGCTAGACAAAATAAGGAGGAGAAGAAA